AATATTTCATATTATTACAGTGTTTTCGGTGCTGTTTCTGGAAAATAAGTGACCATGGGCCCCAAGAAAGCTTCTAGTGCCAACCCTACACCAATAAGGGTGAAAATTTCCCAATAGAAATGAAGAAAGAGATCATTGATAAGTATGAAAGTGGAGTGCGTATCGCCGACCTGGTCAGGTTGTACAAGAAACCCCAATCAACCATCGCTACTATTGTGGGCACTAGAAAGGCAATCAAGGAAGCTGTTCTTGCCAAAGGTTTAACTGTGTTTTCGAAACAAAGATCGCAAGTGATGGAAGATGTTGACAGACTCTTATTGGTGTGGATAAATGAAAAACAGCTAGCAGGAGATAGCATCTCTCAAGCGATCATAAGCGAAAAGGCTAGGAAGTTGCATGAGGATTTAATTAAAAAAATGCCTGCAACTAGTGCTGATGTGAGTGAATTTAAGGCCAGCAAAGGTTGGTTTGAGAGATTTAAGAAGCGTAGTGGCTTTACATAGTGTGATGAGGCATGGTGAGGCTGCCAGTTCGGACCACAAAGCGGCTGAAAAATATGTGCATGAATTCAAGGAGTACATAGAGACTGAAGGACTGAAACCTGAACAAGTGTTTAATTGTGATGAAACAGGCCTGTTTTGGAAGGAAAATGCCAAGCAGGACCTACATTACTCAGGAGGAAAAGGCATTCCCAGGACATAAGCCTATGAAAGACAGGCTTACTTTGTTGATGTGTTCCAATGCTACTGGTGATTGCAAAGTTAAGCCTTTATTAGTGTATCACTCTGAAACTCCCAGAGCGTTCAGGCAAAAGAATGTCCTCAAGGAGAATTTGTGTGTGCTGTGGAGGGCAAACAGTAAGGCATGGGTCACTAGGGATTTTTTCTATGACTGGTTACACCATGCATTTGCCCCCAATGTGAAAGATTACCTATGAAAAGAAATTAGAACTTAAGTGCCTCCTGGTGTTAGACAATGCCCCTGGTCATCCTACAGACGTGGCAGAGCGACTTTATGGGGACATGAAATTCATTAACATCAAGTTTTTGCCTCCTAATACCACTCCTCTCCTGCAGCCCATGAACCAGCAGGTTATTGCAAACTTCAAAAAATGTACACAAAAGCTCTGTTTGAAAGGTGCTTTGTAGTGACCTCAGAAACTCAACTGACTCTAAGAGAGTTTTGGAGAGAGCACTTTAATATCCTCAATTGTGTAAACCTTATAGGTAAGGCTTGGGAGGGAGTGACTAAGAAGACCTTGAACTCTGCTTGGAAGAAACTGTGGCCAGAATGTGTAGACAAAAGGGATTTTGAAGGGTTTGAGGCTAACCCTGAGAGGATTATGCCAGATGAGGAATCCATTGTGGCATTGGGAAAGTCCTTGGGGTTGGAGGTTAGTGGGGGAGGATGTGGAAGAGTTGGTGGAGGAGGACAATGAAGAACTAACCCCTGATGAGCTGATAGATCAACTTCAACAGCAAGAGGCCAGACCTGAGGAAACTGGTTCAGAGGAGGGGAGAGAGAAATTGAAGAAGTTGCCTACTACAAAGATTAAGGAAATGTGTGCAAAGTGGCTTGAAGTGCAAACCTTTTTTGATGAAATCACCTCACACAGCTATTGCAAGCCGTGTTGGCAACCTGTACACTGACAATGTTGTGAAACACTTTAGGGAAGTCATAAAGGAACGAGAGGTACAGGCCCCTATGGACAGATTATGTTGTGCGAAAGAAGTCCAGTGACTCTGAAGCTGGTCTAGTGGCATTAAAAGAAGAAGGGAAGTAACCCCAGAAAAGGACTCGACACCTCAAGTCTTAATGGAAGGGGATTCCCTTCTAAACACTAACACTCTCTCTCCCCTCCTCCCATCCCATCAATCATCACCAGATCTTCAATAAAAGTAAGTGTCATGTAAGTGTGCATGCCTTTTTCAGTTTGTGTGTATTAAAATTAACATTTCATGTGGTAAAAAAATTTTTTTTCATACTTTTGGGTGTCTTGCACGGATTAATTTGATTTCCATTATTTCTTATGGGGAAAATTCATTCGCATACCGATTATTTCGCATAACAATGACCCCTCTTGCACGGATTAAAATCGGTATGCGGGGGTCTACTGTATATATATATATATATATTTTTTTTTTTTTTCAACAAGTCGGCCGTCTCCCACCGAGGCAGGGTGACCCAAAAAAGAAGGAAAATCCCCAAAAAGAAAATGCTTTCATCATCATTCAACACTTTCACCTCACTCACACATTATCACTGTTTTTGCAGAGGTGCTCAGAATACAACAGTTTAGAAGCATATATGTATAAAGATACACAACATATCCCTCCAAACTGCCAATATCCCAAACCTCTCCTTTAAAGTGCAGGCATTGTACTTCCCATTTCCAGGGCTCAAGTCCGACTATACGAAAATAACCGGTTTCCCTGAATCCCTTCACTAAATATTACCCTGCTCACACTCCAACAGATCGTCAGGTCCCAAATATCATTCGTCTCCATTCACTCCTATCTAACACGCTCATGCACGCTTGCTGGAAGTCCAAGCCCCTCGCCCACAAAACCTCCCTTACATCTCTCTCCAACCCTTTCGAGGACGACCCCTACCTCGCCTTCCTTCCCCTATAGATTTGTATGCTTTCCATGTCATTCCACTTTGATCCATTCTCTCTAAATGACCAAACCACCTCAACAACCCCTCTTCTGCCCTCTGACTAATACTTTTATTAACTCCACACCTTTTCCTAATTTCCACACTCCGAATTTTCTGCATAATATTTACACCACACATTGCCCTTAGACAGGACATTTCCACTGCCTCCAACCGTCTCCTCGCTGCTGCATTTACCACCCGAGCTTCACACCCATATAAGTGTGTTGGTACTACTATACTTTCATACATTCCCTTCTTTGCCTCCACAGATAACATTTTTTGACTCCACATATACCTCAATGCACCACTCACCTTTTTTCCCTCATCAATTCTATGATTAACCTCATCCTTCATAAATCCATCCGCCGAAATTTTGAATGTTTATGAGACAGAAAAAAGACACCAGCAATCCTACCATAATGTAAAACAATTACAGGCTTTTATTTTACACTCACTTGGCAGGATGGTAGTACCTCCCTGGGTGGTTGCTGTCTACCAACCTACTACCTACAATATATATATATATATATATTTTTTTTTTTTTTTCAACAAGTCGGCCGTCTTCCTCCGTAAGCCATGCGTGTTGTAAGAGGCAACTAAAATGCCAGGAGCAAGGGCCTAGTAACCCCTTCTCCTGTATAAATTGCTAAATTTAAGAAGAGAAACTTTCATTTTTCCTTTTGGGCGACCCTGCCTTGGTGGGATACGGCCGGTTTGTTGAAAAAAGAAATATATTATTTTTTTTTTCAACACATCGACCATCTCCCACCAAAGCAGAGTGACCCAAAAAAAGAAGCACTCTTACCATCATTCACACATAATCACTGTCTGTGCAGAGGCACCCAAATACAATAGTTCAGATGTCATTCCAAACAGCAAATATCCCAAACTTCTCCTTTAAAGTGCAGGCATTGTACTTCCCACCTCCATGACTGAAGTCCAGCTAACCAGTTTACCTGAATCCCTTCACAAAATATTATTCTGCTCACACTCCAACAGCTCATCACGTCCCAAAAACCATTTATCTCTATTCACTCCTATCTAACATGCTCACACATGCCCTCCCTTCATCTTTTTCCAAGACAACCCCTACCCCTCTTCCCCTCCACTACAGATTTTTACATACACACCAAATGCAATTGAGTCAGATGTGTCTCTGTTCACTGATGATGCAAAGCTAATGAGGAGAATACAAACAGGTGAGGATGGTAAAAGACTGCACATGGATCCAGACAAACTGCAAAGTTGTTCAGATAAGCAGCTGCTCAAGTTCAACTCCAGAAAATGCAATGTCATGAAGATTAGGGAAGAGGCCAGAAGACCAGACACTGAATACAGATTCAGGAAACAGAGGCTGCAGACATAATTTAAAGAGAAAAACCGGGGAATACAAATAGTGCCTAGCATACCGCCATAGGTTCATTTCAGCAGCCAATGCTTGCCTGGCAAATCTGAGAGTAGCCTTCAGGAATTTTAACAAAAGAGTTATTCCAGGTGCTTTATACAACATGTCAGGCCCATCTTGGATTACATATCGCCATTATGGAACCCATGCTTCAGAAAGCATGCTGAGAAACTGGAGAAAGTGCAGACATATGCAACAAGATTAGTTCTAGAACTAAGGGATATAAGCTATGAAGCAAGGCTAACAGAATTTTCATCTAACAACACTGGAGAACAGAAGGACCAGGGAAGACATTATAACAACAAACAAAATATTGAGAAGAATTGATATGGCAGACTGTTTGAGAGGAGGAAAACAGGTACTCAGTTAAAGACACAGATACACAAATAACCCGCACATAAAAGACAGAAGCTTACGACGACGTTTCGGTCCGACTTGGACCATTGACAATGGTCAATGGTCCAAGTCGGACCGAAACGTCGTCGTAAGCTTCTGTCTTTTATGTGCGGGTTATTTGTGTATCGTTCCAGTCACGGTATTGTGCCTTTTTGTTATTTAAAGACACAGATAAATCACAGGGATGTCACAAAGTATTTCTTCAGTCTCAAAGTGGTCAAGAAGCAGAATGCCCTTGAAGAAGAAGTCGTGGAGGCAGACTCCACACAGTTTTAAGAGCGGGTACAACAGGGCCCATGAGGCTAGGAAGGAGTGAATCTGGTAAGTGGCAAGTTAAGAGGGGCCCCAGAGCTATGACCCAACCCCTGCAACTGCATATAAGTGAGTACAGTAGGCATATCAAATTTCAAGCCAATGAGTCAAGCTATTTTTAAAATGATGTTTAAAAATGAAACTATACAAAACTAAATAAAATAAACAGGGCAAAACTCATTAGATATTTCCCAACAATAATGCCTAATAGAGATCAATATTTACTTACAAAATATTTCTTCAGCATCAGCAAGATAAAGTTTTCCTCTTGTGTAAATACGAAAGGGACGAGGCTCATCTGAAACCCATCACATTTACAATTAAACATGTAACAATTGACATTATAAACCTCATTTAACAATGAAATACTGATACAGTACATAAAATACAATATTTTTTACAGCAGGGGTCCCCAACTGCATGCCCATTAGTGCCCTGGTAAATGTAGATTACTTTTACAATGTTAAATTTACAGGCTACAACCTGTTATCCTACTTCTGTTATTTCTTATCCTATCTCTCTCTCTCTCTCAGGTTTACCCCTCCCCCTCCCCCTCCCCAAGATATGGCCTACAACAATCAAATAACACCTAGGTACCTATTTACTACTAGGTAATGGGAAAGGTGTAAGGATATTTGGCATGTTTTTTCTCTACCTGAGAATCAAATCCTTTCTAAATTACCCAAATCTCATTTTTAAAATCTCCCATTAATAAAATTATATTCACTGGTAAGCACTAACTGATAAGGGGTTAAATAACACCTGGAGAGTGGATGGTAATAAAGTTTAGCTTCTGGAATCAAGAAGCCAGTCACCATAGGCAAGTGATTTTTTTATTGCAGGTTATCTGTGGGCATTGAGATGTATGAAATTTATTGTTATTTTCTTATACAGCATACATATCACTGGTGCCAATGTTATGCGTCCATAAAAACTGAGTCATAACAGGCAGTCTACTGGACTTTTTCCAGAAGTGTATCCAATTATGGGTTTACTAAGAAACCTCTATGGAACATATCACTGTTGCTAAGTGAGGAATTAATGTAGTATGTCCCTCACAATCATCTTGGAACAAATTAGTGTCATAAAACAATGTATTTTGGGGTTTGAGTTACAATAGTTTTGAGTTACGATACATCATTTGGAATGGATTAATATCATAATTCAAGGGACCACCATATTTGGTACTAAGTGAAAATGAAAAGAAACAGTAATGAAAGTAAAATACCGGGTAAATATTCTTATTTGACAGAAATAATCAAGGAAATTAGATACCAATTACAGCTTCTCCTCACTTAATGACGGAGTTCCATTCTTAACCCTTTCAGGGTTTCGAACGTACTAGTACAGCTTATGCACCAGGGTTTTTGACGTACTAGTACGCCTAAATTCTAAATTCTAAATTCAAATCTAGTGAGAGAAAGCTGGTAGGCCTACATATGAAAGAATGGGTCTATGTGGTCAGTGTGCGCAGTATAAACAAATCCTGCAGCACACAGTGCGTAATGAGAAAAAAAACTTTGACCGTGTTTTTGGATTAAAACAGCGACTTTGCACTGCATTTTTGTATGATATTTATTGTTGTATTCTAGTTTTCCTGGTCTCATTTTATAGAATGGAAGACATATTACAGAAATTGTGATGATTTTGACTGGTTTTACAAAGAAAAGTACCTTGAAATTGAGCTCAAAGTAGCAGAAATGTTCAATTTTTACCAAAGTTCAAAAGTAAACAAATCATGCTAAGCGTCCGATACACATCAACTGGTGAGTCTAATATTCTTTCACAAGTGCGCCGATATTATTTATACCATTTCTACACTAATGCAGTAGTCTGCATAACAGTAAATCTTCTATTTTTTGTGAGAATAAAAATTCAAAGTGGAAAGCAAAAGAATGTAAGAGAGGAGTGGGTACATGACTAATGAACAGAGGAAATGTTAGTTTAGTGCCAGGAATGTCTTTCTTGTTTATTCTGGACCCTATTTGGAAATTGACATCTTTTGAAATTTGTGTGAAATTGGCAAAATTGCTAAATTCTGACCATTGTACTGGATAGTTGAAATCAGTAAATGGGTAGTTTCTTGTACTCATTCAATAGAAAAAATGGAGTTCCAACGAAATAGTTATGATTTTTGTCGACTAGTACACTGGAACTGGCCGAAAATAGGGCTCAAAGTGGGCAAAATCGCCGATGCGTAAACATCGTCGAGACCGCCAACTTCGCGAGAGCATAATTCCATAAGTTTTCCATCAAATTTCATACTTTTGGTGTCATTATGATCGGGAAAAGATTCTCTATCTTTTCACAAGAAAAAATAATTTTTTTTTTAAATTTGGGCGACCCTGAGAACAAGTCTGGGAGAGGGCCTGGTACCCTGAAAGGTTTAATACAGCGTCGATAAATGAATTCGTCACTAATCAAGGAGCATACTATAATGGTAGTGGGTTTATGTCAACCATCTTTGATACTGCTTTAATGTCACCCTTGCACCATTTAAAATATTTTTAGTATAGTTTTGGTGGGGGGAAATAAATGGAATTAAATCTGGAGTATCTGAGAGAGTTAGAGCAAAGGAAGGGGTAGCAGTAATGTTGAAGGATCAGTTATGGAAGGAGAAAAGAGAATATGAATGTGTAAATTCAAGAATTATGTGGATTAAAGTAAAGGTTGGATGCGAAAAGTGGGTCATAATAAGCGTGTATGCACCTGGAGAAGAGAGGAATGTAGAGGAGAGAGAGAGATTTTGGGAGATGTTAAGTGAATGTATAGGAGCCTTTGAACCAAATGAGAGAATAATTGTGGTAGGGGACCTGAATGTTAAAGTAGAAGAACCTTTTAGAGAGGGTGTGGTAGGTAAGTTTGGGGTGCCAGGTGTAAATGATAATGGGAGCCCTTTGACTGAACTTTGTATAGAAAGGGGTTTAGTTATAGGTAATACATATTTTAAGAGAAAGAGGATAAATAAGTATACAAGATATGATGTAGGGCGAAATGACAGTAGTTTGTTGGATTATGTATTGGTAGATAAAAGACTGTTGAGTAGACTCCAGGATGTACATGTTTATAGAGGGGCCACAGATATATCAGATCACTTTCTAGTTGTAGCTACACTGAGAGTAAAAGGTAGATGGGATACAAGGAGAATAGAAGCATCAGGGAAGAGAGAGGTGAAGGTTTATAAACTAAAAGAGGAGGCAGTTTGGGTAAGATATAAACGCTATTGGAGGATAGATTGTTAATGAAGCACAGGCAATGGGTCGAAGAGGTTGGGGTAGGTTTAAAAATGTAATGTTAGAGTGTTCAGCAGAAGTTTGTGGTTACAGGAAAATGGGTGCGGGAGGAAGAGGAGCGATTGGTGGAATGAGGATGTAAAGAGAGTAGTAAGGGAGAAAAAGTTTTGCATATGAGAAGTTTTTACAAAGTAGAAGTGATGCAAGGAGGGAAGAGTATGTGGAGAAAAAGAGAGAGCTTTAAAAGAGTGTGAAGCAATGTAAAAAGAGAGCAAATGAGAGAGTGGGTGAGATGTTATCAACAAATTTTGTTGAAAATAAGAAAAAGTTTTGGAGTGACATTAAAAAGTTAAGGAAGCCCAGAGAACAAATGGATTTGTCAGTTAAAAATAGGAGAGGAGAGTTATTAAATGGGGAGTTAGAGGTATTGGGAAGATGGAGGGAATATTTGAGGAATTGTTAAATGCTGATGAAGATAGGGAAGCTGTGATTTCGTGTATAGGCAAGGAGGAATAACATCTTGTAGGAGTGAGGAAGAGCCATTTGTGAGTGTGGTGGAAGTTCGTGAGGCGTAGGTAAAATGAAAGGGGGTAAGGCAGCCGGGATTGATGGGATAAAGATAGAAATGTTAAAAGCAGGTGGGGATATAGTTTTGGAGTGGATAGTGCAATTATTTAATAAATGTATGGAAGAGGGTAAGGTACCTAGGGATTGGCAGAGAGCATGCATAGTTCCTTTGTATAAAGGCAAAGGGGACAAAAGAGAGTACAAAAATTATAGGGGGATAAGTCTGTTGAGTATACATACCTGGTAAAGCGTATAGTAGAGTTATTATTGAAAGAATTGAGAGTAAGACGGAGAATAGGATAGCAGATGAACAAGGAGACTTTAGGAAAGGTAGGGGGTGTGTGGACCAGGTGTTTACGTGAAACATATAAGTGAACAGTATTTAGAAAAGGCTAAGAGGTCTTTGTGGCATTTATGGATTTGGAAAGGCTATGACAGGGGTGGATAGGGGGCAATGGGGCAGATGTTGCAGGTGTATGGTATAGGAGGTAGGTTACTGAAAGCAGTGAAGAGTTTTTATGAGGACAGTGAGGCTCAAGTTAGAGTATGTAGGAAAGAGGGAAATTATTTCCCAGTAAAAGTAGGCCTTAGACAAGGATGTGTGATGTCACCGTGGTTGTTTAATATATTTATAGATGGGGTTGTAAGAGAAGTAAATGCGAGGGTCTTGGCAAGAGGCGTGGAGTTAAAAGATAAAGAATCACACATAAAGTGGGAGTTGTCACAGTTGCTCTTTGCTGATGACACTATGCTCTTGGGAGATTCTGAAGAGAAGTTGTAGAGGTTGGTGGATGAATTTGGTAGGGTATGCAAAAGAACCAAATTAAAAGTGAATACAGGAAAGAGTAAGGTTATGAGGATAACAAAAAGATTAGGTGATGAAAGATTGGATATCAGATTGGAAGGAGAGAGTATGGAGGAGGTGAATGTATTCAGATATTTGGGAGTGGACATGTCAGCGGATGGGTCTATGAAAGATGAGGTGAATCATAGAATTGATGAGGGAAAAAGGGTGAGTGGTGCACTTAGGAGTCTGTGGAGACAAAGAACTTTGTCCTTGGAGGCAAAGAGGGGAATGTATGAGAGTACAGTTTTACCAACGCTCTTATATGGGTGTGAAGCATGGGTGATGAATGTTGCAGCGAGGAGAAGGCTGGAGGCAGTGGAGATGTCATGTCTGAGGGCAATGTGTGGTGTGAATATAATGCAGAGAATTCGTAGTTTGGAAGTTAGGAGGAGGTGCGGGATTACCAAAACTGTTGTCCAGAGGGCTGAGGAAGGGTTGTTGAGGTGGTTCGGACATGTAGAGAAAATGGAGTGAAACAGAATGACTTCAAGAGTGTATCAGTCTGTAGTGGAAGGAAGGCGGGGTAGGGGTCAGCCTAGGAAAGGTTGGAGGGAGGGGGTAAAGGAGGTTTTGTGTGCAAGGGGCTTGGACTTCCAGCAGGCATGCGTGAGCATGTTTGATAGGAGTGAATGGAGACAAATGGTTTTTAATACTTGACGTGCTGTTGGAGTGTGAGCAAAGTAACATTTATGAAGGGGTTCAGGGAAACCGGCAGGCCGGACTTGAGTCCTGGAGAAGGGAAGTACAGTGCCTGCACTCTGAAGGAGGGGTGTTAATGTTGCAGTTTAAAAACTGTAGTGTAAAGCACCCTTCTGGCAAGACAGTGATGGAGTGAATGATGGTGAAAGTTTTTCTTTTTCGGGCCACCCTGCCTTGGTGGGAATTGGCCAGTGTGATAATAATAATAAAAAATAAATTTTAAATGTTTATACAGTAGTGTACAGTATATTTTGATAAAAAGAATAGAAGAAATCAGCATACCTTAATAATGTACATTATTAAGGTATGCATAATGGTCAAAGAGCCCATCGTAAGTCCGAGTCATCGGTAAATGAGTACGTCGCTAAGTGAGGAGAGGCTGTATTAAGGTTTGGATGGATGTTTATGGAATAATAGGTTCCAAGCTCCTAACACTTGCATTAGAAAAAAAATTCTGGAATGCATTAGGGTTGAAAGGTGGTACCTGCTGTATAGGTTTATAAAAAATTAACTAATGTAGCTCTGCTTTCACTTAATTTTATGCATACAGTCATCAACATGCCTGAAATTTTTTTTATAAAAACACCAATGATGTCAATATTATATCAAATAACAAATAATAAGAAAAGAAAAAACCTACCACTGGCATAGTCCTGCTTCCTTCCTTCCTCCTGTCCATCTTTAACTGTGTATATTTTTTGTGTAACTAGCTTGTCTTCTGCTATCAGGCCTCTATTTCGTGCCCGTCCATTTTTACTCTTTTTTCTTGCAGTATCTTGCTTCATTGGACACTCTTGGCTACCTTTATGGTCATAATTCTCTGAGGTTGAAACTTCTACAGAATCATCTGACAGTTGTAAATGAAAGTCATTTTCCGAGGTTAAGATATTATGGTCACACATGACAAATGGTTTTTCCAAACCAGGTGTTCCAGATGAGAGATAGTGGACAAAACAGAACTGACAATGCTTATCTGCTCTGTAGATTAACTGAAAATAGTAAAAGAGAGACAATAACAATATTAACCCTTTCAGGGTCCGTGCCGTAGATCTACAGCTTTATGTTTAGGGTCCAAACTGTAGATCTACGCCATGAGCTCAGCTCACTCTGATAAGCTGTGAGCTGTAAATTTTGGCCTAGATATGAGAGAATACATCTATGTGGTATGTGTGCACCACATAAAACAAATCCTGCAGCACACAGTGCATAATGAGAGAAAAAACAGCGACTTTGCAGTGTTTTTTCTTATGATTTTTATAGATGTATTTGCGATTTCTTGGTCTCATTAGATAGAATGGAAGACATGTTACAGAAATAGAGATGATTTTGATTGATTTTAGCACTGGAAATGGCTTGAAACTGAGCTCAAATTAGCGGAAATGTTAAATTTTTGCCGATGTTCAAGAGTAAACAAACTACCTCACACGTCTAATACACGACCAGCCGGTGGATCTAATATACATTCACAAATGTGGTGATGATATTTATACAATTATTACAATATTGCATAACAGTAAATCTTCTATTTTTTGATTTGAACAAAATTCATTATGCGAATAAAAAATCAAAATGGAATTCATTTATAAAGCCTCAAAATATAACTAATGAACAGAGGAAATGTTAGTTTAGTGCCAGGAATACCTATATTATTTATTCTGGACCCTATTTTGAAATTGGAATATTTTGAACTTTGTGTTAAATTGGCCAAATTACCAATTTCCGATCACTTTATTTTGTAGTTAAAACAGCCGACTTGGCGATTTCTTGTGCTCAATCGATAGAATAGAAGTAATACTAGTGAAATGGTTAAGAATTTGGAATAATGTAATTGGCCTAAAATGGGAGTCAAAGTTGCCAAAATCACCGATTCGTAAGTATCACTGACATATCAAAATTCGCGAGCATAATTTTGTCAATTTTCCATCAAATTTCGTACTTTTTGTTTTATTACCTTCAGAAAAAGATTCTCTACCATTTCATAAGAAAAAGTAAAAAAATTTTTTTTTTTAAATTCTTGGACTCTGGTGTGCACTTTGAAATTTGGCCTCTGGACCCTGAAAGGGTTAAATACTTAATAGTAAATGTGAAACTCCATTATGACAACCATTCCCTTCATTCTACTCTAGTGCCTTGTTCTAGAAATTTAACACACTCCCTAGGTTTAAGTCTATTCTTGTACAACAGTGTCTGATGCAAATCAAATACTGTTGTGTGTATACATATACAGTATACAATACAATAAAGACATTTATCTATGGATGCCCCCCAAAAAGGAATGTACTAGAGTATAGTGGTACGAATACTTTTAAATGGGTGTGAGGCATGGGTTTTGAGCACCGCTGCAAGGAGGTTAGAGGCAGTGGAGATATCATGTTTGAGAGCAATGTATGGTGTGAACATTTTGCAGAGAATTTGGAGCATAAAAATTAAAAGATAGTGGGGTCACCACGGGTATAAATCAGTGGGGCTAAGGAAGGGTTGCTGAAGTAGTTTGGGCATGCAGAGGTGATGCAGAGGATTAGGTTGATAAAGAGGGTGCATAAATTTGGGGTGAAGGGTAAGTGGGGTAGGTGTCACTCCAGGAATAGTCAGAGGGAGGGGTTAAAGAAGGCTTTGGGTTTTAGAGGCTTAAGCATCCAGCAGGTCTGTGTGAGTGTGTTAGACAGGAATGAATGGTAGTAGGAAGGGCAGTGCCTGCTCTCTAAAGGAAAGGTGGGTACACTGCAGTCAGCAGGTAATCTAAATTGTGATGTTAGCACACTTTTGGCATGATAGCAAAAGAATGAATTATGACAAATGTGTTTCTGTCTATGGGTCACCCTGCTTTGGTGGAATACAGTTGATGAAGTAAAAAAAATATGTATATATATAAAAAAGGGCACAGTATATTGGGAGAAAAAGAAGTTAAAAAAAAAGTGATGAGGGAGTGCAGTGTGAGAGAATGGGTATAGCTTTATTAACATATTTTGCTGAGAATAAAAAAAAAGTTCTGCACTGAGATTAATAAATTAAGAAAACCCAGGGAACAAATGGTGTCTACCTGGAGAGTGTTCTGAGGATCAACACCCCCACCGTCTTGTCCCAGACCAAGCCTCCCGTTTGATGTTAGCCACACAAAGTCCAATGTATGCACCACAGCCCGGTTGATCAGGAAATGACTTTAAGAACTTTTCAAGCTCCCTTTTGAAGACAGCAAGGGGCATTGGTAATCCCCATTATGAATGAAGGGAGGGTGTCCAAACATCTTGGTCCCTTCACACTTATTGCCTTTCATTGGGGGTACTTTGCACTGGTTGCCAACCCTCTTATTTTCATAAAGAATGATTTGTTTGTGCAAATTTGGGATGAATCCTCCTAGAATTTTCCAAGCATAGATTATGTATCTCTATTGCCTATGTTCCAAGGCGTCCAGATCGAGGGACTTCAATCATTCCCAATAATTTAGGTGCTTGACTGAATTTATGCAAGCAGTGAAGGTTCTTTGCACATTCTCCAAGTTTGCAGTTTTGCCTGCCTTAGATGAAGCTATTAGAGTATAGCAATATTACAGTCTAGAGAAAACAAGTAATCTGAAGAGCATTATCACTAGTCTGGCATCTCTTCTTTTGAAGGTTCTAATTAACCAGCCTATCATTTTCCTTGTAGTTGTGTTAGTAACACCTTTGTGATCCTCGAGCATAAGACATTCTGACAATCACTCCTAAGTCTCTCACATTAGTCTTAACTTCTATCGAGTGATCTGAGTTTGTTTTATACCCTTTTGCAGTTAATAAAAAAAGGGGAGGGGGGAACTGCTAGATGGGGAGATGGAGGGAATATTTTGAGTTGTTAAATATTGATGAAGAAAGGGAGGCAGGAATTTCATGAGTTAAGCAGGGAGGTATGATGTCTCGTTGGGGTAAGGAAGCGGTAGAAGTGATTGTGAGAGAAGTGTGTGAGGAAGTGAGTCAAATAAGAAGTAAAGCAGCACAGAAAAACTTATAAAATACAAGAGAAGTGTTCCCCATGCTGATACTAACAATACTTATGTCACATTAGAGACCACACTCATCCTAAAACTATTCAAATCAAATCAAATCAAGTTTATTCTCTATAAAGATTACAATGCGAGGTTTACATATTTTAGGATGTTGTGTGGTTTACATGTTATAAAATACTAATTACAGAGGGGACCACTATCACACCTAGCATGGCTAAGCATTTCAGGCAGACTAAGATTAATTCATAACTCTAAATTATTACAGATTATGGAGCAAGTTGGTATTAAGGCTAAGTAACTACATTACAGTTTGTAAATTTAGCAATGTGAATGCTTTTGTTTTGGTACAATACATAGTTTCTATATTGGGGTATCACAGGCAAACTTATGAATAGTGAGGATTCATTATTTTAAGATTCATATTTCTGTGTTTCTAGGTAGTAGGTTGGTAGACAGCAACCACCCAGGGAGGTATTACCGACCTGCCAAGTGAGTGTAAAACGAAAGCCTATACAGTGGACCCCCGCTTAACGATCACCTCCAAATGCGACCAATTATGTAAGTGTATTTATGTAAGTGCGTTTGTACGTGTATGTTTGGGGGTCTGAAATGGACTAATCTACTTCACAATATTCCTTATGGGAACAAATTCGGTCAGTACTGGCGCCTGAACATACTTCTGGAATGAAAAAATATCATTAACCGGGGGTCCACTGTAATTGTTTTATATGATGGTAGGATTGCTGGTGTCTTTTGTCTGTCTCATAAACATGCAAGATTTCAGGTATGTCTTGCTACTTCTACTTACACTTAGGTCACACTACACATACATATACAAGCATATAGTTTATACACACCCCTCTGGGTTTTCTTCTATTTTCTTTCTAGTTCTTGTTCTTGTTTATTTCCTCTTATCTCCATGGGGAAGTGGAACAGAATTCTTCCTCCGTAAGCCATGCGTGTTGTAAGAGGTGACTAAAAATGTCAGGAGCAAGGGGCTAGTAACCCCTTCTCCCGTATAAATTACTAAATTTAAAGAGAAACTTTTGTTTTTCTTTTTTGAGCCACCCCGCCTCGGTGGGATGCGGCCGGTGTGTTGAAAGAAAGAAGAAAGATTTCTGTGTTTATAGCCAACTGGGTGAGTGTGTGAGTGTGTGAATCATCAGGTGGTTTTCATGTAGTTAGCTGATGGGGTGTATCAGGGAGATAAGATGTTTTCTAATGGTAGTTTTGAAAGTGATGTGATGAATGTGTCTGCAGTTCTAGAGTTTTCAGGAAGGGTGTTCCAGATTTTAGGCCCTTTGACGTACACTGAATTTTTGTCAGGGTTTAGTCGGACACAGGGAATGTCATAGAGATGTTTTTGTCTGGTGTTGTGCCTGTGGGTCCTGTCAAGCCTTCAGAAATGCCACCTTGTTGAATCAGCACTTCCTAACATGACTCTTACTCCAAGCTCTGTTTCAGTATATGTTTACCTTTCCCATATTCTCTCTCCTTACCTCTACTCTTTTCACCCCTCCTGTCTTCAGACTCTCTCTTCATGATCTGATAATGGTCTGGGATAGACCAAAACACTGTCTAAGGTTTACACTCAAAAGTGTGGGTTAACTGGGAATTCTTCTAGCCACAGCATTATGACTTTTTTTCCCCCTCAGAATAATAGTTTTTTAAAACATATCTTTATTGTGGGTTGAGATACTGTAGTTCTCTCACTGAATTATTTTAACACAGCATTACAAAACATATAAGCATTTACCCAATATATTTGCTCATTAGGAGTTTCTATATGCCATACTCACTTTAACATCAGGATCTTTACCCTGAAGGCTATGACAAACTTCAACTGATGTGATTCTGTCATACCAAGTGACTGACAGGTCTCTTCCTTGTGGATATCTGCCACCATGTATCCAAATCTTAGCATTATCCTCACCTACAAAGAAACTTTTTTAATATTATTTCAAAAAATAAATTTATAATTTAAAATTACCATTAACCCTTTCACTGTCGAAAGCCCTACTCACTAACTTGCTCTCAGTGTTGAAAAATATTCAAAAAAAAAAAAAAAAAAAAAAAATCGTATCAAAATCTGAAGAATAATTTTGTGAGTGTTATAAAAGAAAAAAAAATTGCAATCAGTAGTTAACAAGATAGAGAGGCATGAAGTTGACAGAAAGTGAACCACTTATGGCAACATCAGCAACTGCCGCTCACTCGGTAATATTATTTTTACTGTTATTCTATTTTTTCTTTTCTTTTCTAATATTTTTTTTTTCAAATAACCTTTGTGGCCTGTCAGACCTATATAATGCATAATGCATATATATCCACTCGTTGTATGCAACACAATAACTGCACAAATATTATCATTATATTTTTTACAAAACTTGTTTACACAAACCCACGCTGCCTTCCCCACAACCCACGCTGCCTTCCCCACCACCCACACTCTCTTCCCCACACCCACACCGTCTTCTTCACCACCCATGCTGGAAATAAGTCACTTTGTCTGACTTGTTTGTGTTATCCTAGGTTCTCTACACATGCTGCTGTGTATGATACTCTATGTAACTGCATTTGTGCATACCTGAATAAACCTACTTACATGCCATCTTCCCAACCACCCATGCTGTCTTCCCCAACCACATCATCATCCCCACCATCCACACTGCCTTCCTCACTACTCATACTGTCTTCCCCACCACTCGTGCTGTCTTCCCTTTTCACTATCTGTATCTGGTATCCTGGGCATTGCTTTTGGTCACAAACTCCTCAAAACCATGAAATTCATCTTCAGTGACACTTCCATCTGTGTCAGAACTATCACTTGGGAAGAGAAGAGTCCCAAATTTGTCGGGGTGTGAGGTATTCCTTACCGATAGGCATGGTGAACAAGGTGTACTGAATTGGCACTCTCACAATGCACTGTGGCCTCCCTGATTTTTTCATACTGTGTACACAGCACCATGTCTTCCTTTGCAGATGACACCCGAATCTGCATGACAGTGTCTTCCATTGCAGACACTGCAAGGCTCCAGGCAGACATCAACCAAATCTTTCAATGGGCTGCAGAAAACAATATGAAGTTCAACGATGAGAAATTTCAATTACTCCGATATGGTAAACATAAGGAAATTAAAACTTCATCAGAGTATAAAACAAATTACAGCCACACAATAGAGTGAAAAACTAATCTCAAAGACCAGGGAGTGATCATGTCAGAGGATCTCGCCTTCAAGGACCATAACATTGTATCAATCGCATCTGCTAGAAACATGACAGGATGGATAATGAGAACCTTTAAAACTAGGGATGCCAAGCCCATGATGACACTCATGTTCCTTATTCTATCTGGGCTGGAATATTGCTGCACACTAACAGCACCTTTCAAGGCAGGTAAAATTGCTGACCTAGAAAATGTACAGAGAACCTTCATGGCACGCATAATGGAGATAAAACACCTCAATTATTGGGAGCGCTTGAAGTTCCTGAACCTCTACTCCCTGGAACACAGGCGGGAGAGATACATGATTATATACACCTGGAAAATCCTAGAGGGACTAGTACCGAACTTGCACATGAAAATCACTCTCTACAAAAGCAAAAGACTCGGCAGACGATGTAACATCCCCCCAATGAAAAGCAGGGGTGTCACTAGCACGTTAAGAGACAACACAATAAGTGCCAGGGGCCCAAGACTGTTCAGCTGCCTCCCAGCATATATAAGGGGAATTACCAATATACCCCTGGCTCTCTTCAAGCAGGCACTGGACAAGCACCTAAAGTCGGTACCTGACCAACCGGGCTGTGGCTCGTATGTTGGATTGCGTGCAGCCAGCAGTAACAGCCTGGTTGATCAGGCCCTGATCCACCATGAGGCCTAGTCACAGATAGGGCCACGGGGGCATTGACCCCCGGAACTCTCTCCAGGTAAACTCCAGGTAAACACTGAGCACACAGAAAAATTCTCTCACATGTAGGCCTACCAGCTTTCTACCATCAGATATACAGCTGCTAGAATTTTGGCATAGTATTATGGGACTGACACTGGCTTGCAAGCAGTAATATTATCCATTTGACTGTCGCAAGCCCATTTCTGAAACTCATTCTATGTCGCAAAATTTTTGGAAAAAAAAAAAAATTATTTTTTCTCATGAAATAATAATCTTTTCCTGATGGTAATGACACCAAAAGTACAAAATTTGATCGAAAACTTACGAAATTACACTCCCACGAAGTTAGTGATCTCGGTGATATATACACATCGGTGATTTTGCCGAATTTCAACCCTATTTTTGGCTAATTCCATTGTTCCAGTTGACAAACTCATAGTTATTTCTTTAGAATTCCATTTTTTCTATCAATTCAGTACAAGAAACTGTCCATTTACCAATTTGAACTACCCAATAAAGTGGTCAGAAATTGGCAATTTGGCCAATTTCACGCAAATTAAAAAAGATGTCAATTTCAAAATAGGGTCCAGAATAAACAAGGCAGACATTCTTGGCACTAAAATAACATATTCTCTGTTCATTAGTCACGTCTCCAGGCCCCTCTTATATTACCCTTGCTTTCTATTTTGATTTTTTATTCACACAAAAAATAGAAGATTTACTGTTATGCAGACTACTGCATTATTGTAAAAATTATATAAATAATATCAGTGCACTAGTGAAAGAATATTAGACTCTCAGTTGACGTGTATTGGATGTGTGGTGTGATTTGCTTACTCTTGAACACTGGTAAAAATCAAACATTTCCGCAACTTTGAACTCCATTTCAAGGGCGTTCTCATCGTGAAACTAATCAAAATCATCTCTATTTCTGTAATATGTTTTCCACTCTATCAAATGAGACCAAGAAAACGAGAATACAACCATAAATACTCTACAAAAATACACCTCAAAGTCGGCATTTTAATCCAAAAACACAGTCGGAGTTTCTTTTTATTCCTCATTATGCACTGTGTGCTGCAGGATTTTTTTTATACAGTGCACACTGACCACACAGACCCATTCTCTCACATGTGGGCCTACCAGCTTTCTCCTGCTTGATTTGAAGCCGCTAGAATTTTTTTTTTTTAACAAGTCGGCCAACTCCCACCGAAACAGGGTGACCCAAAAAGAAAGAAAATCCCCAAAAAGAAAATAGTAGCAGGTTGGTAGACAGCAACCGCCCAGGGAGGTACTACCGTTCTGCCAAGTGAGTGTAAAACAAAAGCCTGTAATTGTTTTACATGATGGTAGGATTGCTGGTGTCTTTTGTCTGTCTCATAAATATGCAAGATTACAGGTATGTCTTGCTACTTCTACTTACACTTAGGTCACACTACGCATACATGTACACGTTTATTAATACACACTCATCTGAGTTTTCTTTGATTTTTATCTTAATAGTTCTTGTTTCGTATTACTTATCCTTTTCTATCCATGGGGAAGTGGAATAAGAATCTTTCCTCCGTAAGCCATGCGTGTTGTAAAAGTCAACTAAAATGCCAGAACAATGGGCTAGTAACCCCTTTTCCTGTAATGATTACTAAAAACAATAAGAAGAAAACTTTCGCTAGAATTATTGAGTATATATACGTCCGAAACACTGGCTCATATGATGTACATGTATACATACTGCTGAAACAATCAAAGGGTTATGGACCAACAGTGAAAGGATTAAACTAGAAAATCAAAAAAGCATCTTAATATACTTACAGTACAATACAGTACTTTAATCAGGAAATATTTAAGCTCAACATAACTATGAATATACATACTGGCATAATCTTTTATGCCAAGAGTCTAATTTTTTTTTTTAACACACTGGCCATCTCCCACCAAGGCAGGGTGACCCAAAAAACAAAGAAACACTTTCATCAACATTCATCACTTTCACCATCATTCACACATAATCACTATCTCTGGAGAGGTGAGAAGGTATGACAGTTCACGTGTCACTCCAAATAGCAAGAGTCTAATATGTATATGCAAATACAGCCTCTCCTCACTTAGCGACGTATTTGTTTGCTGATGCCTTGGACTTACAATGGGCTCTCTGACCAGTATTTATATCTAAATAATGTATATCAGAGTTGATTTCCTCTATTCTGTTTATTTCAATATACAGTACACTACTGTATAAACATTTAAAAATATACCAGAAATGCTATAAATGGTGCAAAGGTGGCATTAAAACAATATCAAAAATGGTTGACACAAACCCACTACCATTATAGTATGCTCCTCACTTAGCGACGAATTTGTTTAAAGATTTGGTCGTAAGAATGGAACTCCATCATTAAGTGAGGAGAGGCTGTATTATACAGCATAAAACTGAAGTAATTTATGTAATTACTGTACATGTACTTACTAATATGATCTTTCAATACAAAAAGTTCTCCTGATTTGGGCAACAAGACAGCAGATGTATATACACAAGTTTTTCTTTGGAGAATCATATCTGAAATTTAAATTATAACAAAATAATTAATTAGAAGATACTCATTCTAACAAACTTTATAAAACAAACAAATTTTTATGACAACAACAGCATTCTAGCCCTAATAAATTCCTAGATTCAGTTTTTCTTCAACAGGCTTGAACTTCTTTTCATCTATATGAAAAACAGTACAGAATAGGTCTAATAACAAAGGATCTGACAAAACGTTCCTCAACAATACTAACTAATTTAATAAGGAGGTCAAAAAAAGCTGTGCAGTATTACGAAAACAGACTTCATGACGTAAGAGGTGATATAAAAAAGACCTGGAAAACCCTATCTGAAATTCTAGGATCTAAAAAGCTGTCTCAAAACAGAGTGATTAATTTAACGAAACCAGGAGAACCTCTCCTCCAGCCAACAGATACTGCATACAAACTTAATGTCTTTTTCTCGACAATAGGAACAAAGCTAGCAAGCAAAATCCTGAACTCAAACATTTAGTCAAAAGACTACATCACTGGTAACTACCCAAATATGTACTCTATTTCTAGCCCCATCAAAACCAACTGAAATCTTGCTCATCATCAGAACACTAAAGAACTAGACAGGAGACCTAAATAGCTTACCACCACTTATGTATAAAAAAAAGCTTCTCATGTGTTGTCACCAATTATTGCAACCCTTTTTAACAAATCCATTGAATCTTCCACCTTGCCATCCATACTCAAGACAGCAAGGTTACCCCGATCCACAAAGGAGGTGATCCAACTGAAGTGAACAACTATAGGCCTGTATCAAACTTGCCCCTACTACAGTGGAACCTCAAAAATCGAACGTATCACATATTGAACGTTTCGAAAATAGGACCATTTTTTCGGACAAACTGTGTCCCTATTATCGAACGCGCCCCTATTTTCGGACCGCCGGGTATGGGACCTGTCTGCTGCCCGCTCTGTCTGCGTCCCCGTGGCGCCATGAGCAGTCTAGCTTTGTTTATGCTTGAGTGAACATTAACCTGCGCTCTCATTCACACATTTTACGATTATTTCGTTGTGTTTAGTGCTTCTGGGACTGTGAAATAAGCTGCCATGGGCCCAAAGAAACTTGCTAGTGGTAACCCTGTGGTAAAGAAAGTGAGAAACACCATAGATGTGAAGAGGGAAATAATACAGAAGTATGAGAGTGGTGTGAGACTTGTTGAGCTTGCCAGGATGTATGGGAAAACCAAGTCGACCATTGGTTCTATCCTGTCAAAGAAAGAACAAATCAAGGAAGCTGATGTTGCAAAAGGTGTTAATATAGGGAGTGGATGAGGTGCCTTCTTCAAAGATTAAGGAGATTTGTGTCAAGTGGAATGATGTCCAAATGTTTGTGGAGAAGTACCACCCTGAGCAAGCTGAAACAAGCCATCTTTGCAACAAGTTCAGTGACAGAACCATGTCCCATTTTAGGGAAATGTTAAAGAGGCACCAGAAACAGAGGACTGTGGACAGTTATTTTGTGAGACAGGGGTCCAGTGACTCTCAAGCTGGTCCTAGTGGCATTAAAAGACAGAGAAGGGAAGTAACCCCAGAGAGGGCTTTACCTGAAGTCCTCATGGAGGGGATTCTCCTTCCAAACACTAACCCCAACTCCCTCACTCCTCCTCCCTATCTTCCAGATGCCATCACCAATCTTCAATAAAGGTGAGTAAAAATGTTATTTTATATGTATTACTATACATAATTAAAAACTATAGTATTTGTTGTATATAAAACTGTAATTAATCTCTATAAAATGTATTTTTTGTGTGAATATTTTGGGGTTTCTGGAATGGATTAATTGTATTTCCATTATTTCTTATGGGAAATATTGCTTCGAATTTCAGACTTTTCGAATTTAGAACTAGCTCCTGGAACGGATTAAGTTCAATTTTTGAGGTTCCACTGTATCTAAAATCTTCAGAAAATTAATTCACAAACAAGTCTATTCCTACTTAGTATTCCACAACATACTTAACCCTTGTCAGTTTGGATTTACATTGAAAAAAAGTACTAACAATGCAATTATACATACACTTGAACTAATATATTGAGCACTTGAAAAAATGAAATTCTCCTGGGACTTTTCATAGACCTACGAAAAGCTTTTGATACAGCTGACCATGACCTATTGCACCTAAAGCTTGAACATTACAGGGCCAAAGGACACTCCCTTGATTACTTAAAATCTTAGCAATAGAAACCAGTATGTATACACAAATGGCACTAATTCCACTACATAACCTGTTCTTGTTGGAGTCCCACAGGGCAGTGTCCTTGGCCCGCTTCTCTTTCTCATTTACAGACAAAACTTACTTCATGCTATTTGGAAACAGAGCTTCAAATGTACAGCTAAACATATTGATCAATGGTTTACCCATTTCAAGACACACACAGGGCAAATTTCTAGGTCTCCACCTTAACTGCAGTCTCAAATTCCAGACTCACATACAGCATGCATCAAAGAAAGTCTCCAAAACAGTACGCATCCTTTCAACGGCTCTTCTTGCTCTTTACCTCTCTCTCATTTAACCTTACCTCACCTATGGTATTTGTGCATGGGGAGCAACCACAGCAAATCACCTTAAACCTTTAATAGCCCAGCAAAAAGTTGCAGTGCAATTGATTACCAACTCCTGCACAAGACAGCACACTCCACCACTTTTTAAGAGCCTTAACTTGCTTAATATACAAAGCATCCACACACACAACATTATACTCAAATACACATTAAACTCAAATATTAACTCTCCTCTCAAACTCCTCCTTGATAACTACAACAGAACACACAGGCATAACCCAAGACACAAATCACTCTTCAATATCCCTCGTGTCCATTTCTCCCTATGCAAAAATGCTATGCACATAAAGGGCCCCAAGATCTGAAATTCACTGCCTGAACACACTAAAGGACCCCCTGCTGCAAATCAATTTAAGGCCCTACTTAGTATTCACCTCATAACCCAAAATTAACCAGACAAACACTTTACTGAACACCTACCAGTTACTCAAAAGTTACTTAAAAAACTTCTAAATAATTTATGACTGCTCAACTATTTGATCATTTACTTCAAACTTATAACTGTTTCAATTTCATTACTGTATATTGTGCTTGATGATTGCTCAACTATTTAAACATTACTAGAAACTTAAAATTCTTTCAATTTCCTTGTTTTAAATTGTGCTAAATTGTAATACTGTATTTTTTATACTACATCAAAACTGTAATTATTCTCTACTGAGCTTACTAAAGCCACATAGCATGAACTAGTTGAATATTCAGTTTTCTTCTATTCACTGTAACTCACCTAATGACCATATGTAAAATTACAACACTGTATTTATTGATCTTAAGTTAGTCTTAAGCTTGCCCGAAATGTTCTGTACATAAAGGGGTTTTTGGCATGTTCATCAAATTGTTACACTCCTTTGTACAAACATGTATCATACTTAAATAAACTATTATTGATACTGTTATACTTAGAGATTGTTTTTCCAATAAGCAGGCTCCTCAGAGCAAGCATCTGTAAGTCATGTTTGTGTCCAGGGAATTTTGTTTACATCTACAGACTGGGTGTGGTAAGATCAAGTGAACAAAACAATAGCAGAGAAATCAACATAACAAGTAACTCTGCATCCATGCTGTGATTATCTTAACCCTTAAACAGTCCAAGCAGATCTATGTTCACATGTGTAGTGCTCCAAAAGTAGATCTACGTTTTTTTTACATATTTTCAAATATAACAAAAAAAAAGTAGATCAAAGATTTTTTTACACGTTTTCAAATGTAAAAAACGAAAAGAAGATCTACTTTTTTTACATATTTTCAAATGTTGAAAAAACGTAGTTCTACGTTTGGACAGTTTAAGGGTTAAAGGTTTCACCAGTTAACCATATGACAATAAGAAAAGTTTCACAAATTCTTTTGAAAGTGAAAATAAAATAAGGCCTTGAGATACAGTATACATGGCATGACAGTGGTCTTAAAGATTACAAGAACCTGATATATATATATACAGTGGTACCTTGATTTACGAGTGCCCCAACTTACGAGTTTTCCGATTTACAAGACGTCGCTCGGTTGATTTTTTTGCTTCGAGTTGAAAGCCAAAATCTGAATAATGATCGAGCTTCAGATTCACCACTACTAGTTGGCGGCGTATCTGAAGTCAAATCCAACTCTGTACCCAGAGGAATGTCAGGTACTTCGTCCCATCCCACATGCTCTTCCAAGACACTAATGGAAGGATAATAATCCCACACCAATCCCAGATTGTAGTGAGGCACCTCGTCCCTTGATTGGTTCTCGTTTAAATCTGGGGAAGAGGTAACTCCATTTCAACACTCAGAGTTTTTCCAGAAACATTAAAGTGGGTGGATTTCTGATAATGGTGGGTGTAGTAGTCATAGTGGTGGGTGAAGTACTGATAGTGGTGGGGGAAGTAGTCATAATGGTGGGTGGAGTACTGATAGTGGTGGGTGAAGTACTGATAGTAGTGGGTGAAGTAGTCAAAATGGTGGGTGGAGTAGTCATAGTGGTGGGTGGAGTACTGATAGTGGTGGGTGAAGTAGTCATAATGGTGGGTGGAGTACTGATAGTGGTGGGTGAAGTAGTCATAATGGTGGGTGGAGTAGTCATAGTGGTGGGTGGAGTACTGATAGTGGTGGGTGAAGTAGCCATAATGGTGGGTGGAGTAGTCATAGTGGTGGGTGGAGTACTGATAGTGGTGGGTGAAGTAGTCATAGTGGTGGGTGGAGTACTGATAGTGGTGGGTGAAGTAGTCATAGTGGTGAGTGGAGTAGTCATAGTGGTGGGTGGAGTACTGATAGTGGTGGGTGAAGTAGTCATAGTGGTGGGTGGAGTAGTCATAGTGGTGGGTGGAGTACTGATAGTGGTGGGTGGAGTAGTCATAGTGGTGGGTGGAGTACTGATAGTGGTGGGCAGAGTAGTCATAGTAGTGGGTGGAGTACTGATAGTAGTGGGCAGAGTAGTCATAGTAGTGGGTGGAGTACTGATAGTGGTGGGTGAAGTAGTCATAGTGGTGGGTGGAGTAGTGATGGTGGTGGGTGGAGTAGTGATAGTGGTGAGTGGAGTAGTGATGGTGGTGGATGTAGTAGTGAAGGTGGTGGGGGGGGCAGACTGATAGTGGTAGGTGGAGTAGTCATAGTGGTTGGTATCAAACAAAACAAATTTTATCAGTTAAGTTCAGTGATTAAACAAAACAAATTGTATCAGTTAAATTCAGTGATAAAGTGTAGCAAGTTAGTTAAGCGATTAAGCGATAGTAAAAGGATGAAATGCAGATATTGCCTCCATTTCCACCGCCATCATTACTTGTCATAATTTGGCCTATTTAATTTATTCTAGAGTATATATCATATTTATCTGTTAATTATATTGTTTATTATGTCATATTAGATGAACTGTGATAAATAAATAAGCCAGAGAGTTAATATTAGCTTACACGTACACTGAAATATTTTGTCCTGCTGCTGGGACTGATTAATGGCATTTTAATTAATTTAAATGAGGAAAATTGATTTGATATACACGTACAAGCAAATTGAGTTATGAGCTAGGTCACGGAACGGATTAAACTCGTATGTCAAGGTTCCACTGTATCTTTATTATATATACAGAGATTTCATGGATCGCATACAAAATATGCAGAAAAAATCCTAAAATAATCCAATTAAATGTTGATGAACAGGGTTAAAGACTACCACAGTATAAGCTGTACTGATCCCTACCTGTCAGCATCAAGGCAAGAAAGATAGTCACATAGTTACCTCAAACTGTTCAGGAAAAAGGGTGGTCTGAGATTTTAGTTTATCCGACTTAAGAGATCAGACAAGTTCAATAAGTTCTAGGGTACACCAGATTCACTGAAAAATTTAACCGTCACAAGAGCTATCTGATCAAGGCATTTTTATATAAGTTCATGCAGTATATACAATTTACTTAAAAAATGATCAAAGTTCAGTGAAAAAAATCAAGGTTAATAAAATAATTACTTTACTTATAATCTTACCAATGAGATCACATATTTCTGTAACTGTCATAACAGTTTCTGAAATTAAAATTGGTGAAGGAATATCCACCGAATAATCTGAAAAGAGACAGGAAGTAATGAGTTTAATTACAAAATGTATATATCACCAGATTTAAAGATATAAAAAGTGAAAAGGTACTTGAGTGTATTGTTCTGTATCAATAAGCACCTAAGTCATAATTTGCTAGTAGTTTTCTGAATTTTGAAGATGTCACCAAGATAAAATCTGCATCAAAAGAACTCAGTTCACACACTGAGGTCCAGAGTTTGAATCCCCGGTATGGCTGGATAACATTAGGACATGTTTCCATAAGACACCTGCTGTCCACGTTCAGCCGTCAGTGTAAAATGGTGTGGGTCGCATCCTGGGACAAAATTGACCTAATTTGCCCAAAATGCTCTGCATAACAAGCAGCTTACTATACAGTAGTGTGCCACTGTCAGCTAGGCTTGTATACTTTGTACATGTACTTGTAGAAATAAAGATACAGTATTATGATTATTATTATTTTTAACACAGTTGACAATATCTATGTTGACTTAAAAAATTATAGATTTGTCTGCATAATATCATCATTCCTCTTATAGATACAGTAGAGCATTAAATAAGAAATGAAACAACTGAGATTTTCCAACATATGAGCTCTGTCTTGCTATTTTTTAGCTTAAGACTATTTACTTTGTTTTATACTTAATTCTAACTATAGATTCACTACAAATCTTATGATTACAAGCATTGATCCTGATACCAACCTCTTATTTAACGACTTAAATGATTCAAACAGTTACTGTAATTACTACACTGCAGAACAATCAAAGGCACTTCTCAGTGCCAACAACAACATAACTATCTTTAACTACAATATCAGATCTTTAAGCAAGCATTACGATGACCTCATAGCATTACTAAATTCCTTACATGCCAATATGTCCATCATTACACTAACTGAAACCTGGCTAAAGCCTGATAGTACAGAAGTCTATGCCATTCCTGGTTACACAGCCATACACAACTGTAGGCCAGACCAACAAGGGGTGGCACAGCCATATACTACTCAGACCAACTAGAATGTATCACTAATACTTGCACAAGGGATGAACATGGGGAATATATAATAGCCAAATTCAAATCCAAATACCTACAAAAACCTCTCACATTGATAAACATTTACAGAGTTCCACAGTCAAACATTAGCCAATTTAGTCAAAACCTAGGAAGTATGATAACTGATGCATGCATGAACAAAGATCACTTACTACTCTCAGGTGACTTCAATATAAATCTCCTGCAAGACCAGGACCCACACGTTACTGAATTCACAAACACAATGAGTAACTGTATGTTGCTACCAACAGTAACAAAACCTACAAGAGTTACAGAGACTAGTGTTTCCCTACTTGACCACATCTGGACCAACACCATATCCCCTTTAAAATCAGGCATAATTACAGATAATACCACAGACCACTACCCTACTTTTCTCATAACAACTCTTGGTAAATTACCCCAAGACACTACTAAAGTCACCTTCAGACTTCACAATGAGGCAGCCATTAATAACTTCACAACAGCAGTAGCAAACATTGACTGGCACACTGAGCTAGAAATCTATACAGATATTGACGAATGTATTAATAATTTTCTAAAAAAGACCCAATACCTCTATAACAAGCACTGCCCTAAAAAAACTAAACAGATGACAGCTAAGAGACTGAACAGTCCCTGGTTAACACCCAGCATTCTCAAATCCATAAATACAAAACACCAATATGAAAAACAGTACAGAATGGGTCACATAACCAGAGACCAAACAAAACGTTACTCGTCAATCCTAACCAGCCTGATAAGAAGGGCAAAAAAATTGTATTATGAGAACAGATTATCCAACTTACGAGGTGATATAAAAAAGACCTGGAAAACCCTATCAGAAATTTTAGGAACAAAAAAGATATCACGAAATAGCGAAATAAAATTAGCAAAATCAGATGAACCCCAACTCCCACCAACAGAAACAGCAAACAGACTCAATGACTTCTTCTCCACTATAGGACAAAACCTTGCCAATAAAATCCCAAGCTCAGATACCCCACCAAATGACTACCTCACTGGCAACTACCCGAACACACTGTTCCTAGCTCCGACTAACCCATACGAAGTCTCCCTTATTATCAACACGCTAAAAAACAAGGCAGGAGATTTAAATACCTTACCACCCTTTATATACAAAAAAATGTCACAAGTGCTATCACCAATCATTGCAACACTCTTTAACAAATCCATTGAATCCTCCACCTTCCCCACAATACTCAAAATAGCAAGGGTCACCCCGATCCACAAAGGAGGAGCCAAACAGAGTGAATAACTATAGGCCAATATCCAACTTACACCCTCTCTCAAAAATCTTCGAAAAATTAATTCATAAACGAATCTACTCCTACCTTATCTCCCAAAACATACTCAACCCCTGCCAATTTGGATTCAGGCCAAATAAAAATACTAATGATGCTATTATACACATGCTAGAACATATATACACTGCAATAGAGAAAAAAGAAGTCCCACTGGGGATCTTCATTGACTTACGTAAAGCTTTTGATACAGTTAACCATGACTTGCTCCACGCAAAATTGTCACACTATGGTATAAGAGGGCACTCCCTCAACTACCTCAAGTCATACCTCAGCAACAGAAGCCAATATGTGTATGCAAATGGGGCAAACTCTTCTGCACAACCAATTACAGTTGGTGTCCCACAGGGAAGTGTCCTTGGCCCTCTTCTCTTTCTCCTATACATAAATGACCTACCAAATGCTTCGCAATTACTCAAACCCACACTATTTGCAGATGACACTACATACGTCTTCTCCCACCCGAGCCCAGTCACGCTAGCCAATACTGTAAATACAGAATTACAGAAAATATCTACCTGGATGAGGACTAACAAACTTACACTAAACATTGACAAAACCTACTTCATTCAGTTTGGTAAACAGAGCTACAGATGTCCCTCTTAACATAATGATAAACGGATCACCTATCACAAAGCTAGCAGAGGGAAAATTCTTAGGAATCCACCTTGATAATAGACTCAAATTTCATACACATATACAACAAATTTCTAAGAAAATTTCCAAGACTGTAGGCATACTATCGAAGATACGGTACTATGCTCCACAGTCAGCCCTCCTGGCCCTATATCACTCTCTTATTTACCCCTATCTCACCTATGGAATTTGTGCATGGGGCTCAACAACAAGTAACCATCTCAGACCACTAATTACCCAACAAAGGCTGCAGTTAGAATGATAACAAATTCTCACTATAGGCAGCACACTCCACCAATATTCAATACACTAAACCTATTCACCATACAAAACATTCATACTTATTACTGCACCTATTACATACATAGAACACTTAACTCTGATATTAACCCTCCCCTCAAACATCTCCTTGCCAACCTCAACAGAACACATGACCATAACACAAGGCACAGATCACTCTTTGATGTTCCTCGTGTCCATCTCACACTTTGCAAAAAACTCAATGCACATAAAAGGCCCTAAAATCTGGAACTCATTACCTGTAAATATAAAAGAAACACTACCTGTTTATAAATTCAAGTCTCTTCTCAAAGATCACTTACTCACCCAAAACCAAATAAATACTGAATAACTGAACCTTATAAATTGTATATCTTAAATGTTTCTCACAATTATATCACATAAATGTTAAACCTAAAACCCAATCTAACTTTATTATTTTTTAAATACACTACCTAACAGAATACTCCATTCTACTGAATGTACAACAATGCATACAGCCATATGACCTGTCTTTGTAATACTCACTTGTGCTTTATAGTAATCTGTTTACATTAAAGTTTTATCACCGATGTCATCATTGCTTAGTTCATCTTAAGTTAATTTTAAGCCAGCCCGTAATGCTATGCATAGTATAAGTGGCTTTGGCATACTGCTCTTTTTCTGTATTTTTTGTACCTCTGTATGTGTGCACAAATTTTTAAATAAATAAATAAATAAATAAATAAATGAGATAGTAATTACAAAATGATTCAACTATTATACAGCAGCTTTGTTTGCAATGGTGTGAGATACCAAGGCAATGGTAAGATACACAAATGCAGTTATGTGAAACCTTTACTGATGAGGTTTCACCCACTGTGTGGGCAAAATTTAGTTAACAAAGACTCCAAATGCTATAACATCTCACCATCAGCTGCTTTGATTTTTTCTGAATATACTTTAAAATTCCTTCTTTTCTACAAACTTTCTAATTCTTCTACATCCTTACTCTTAAAACCCAATATTGTATTTATTTCATTACCAGAAATAAAATCATTCATTATCCTTAAGACCACACCTCTACCAATACATTAGTACTTATTTCTCGTACAAGCCCATCTATAGCACATCAAACAACTTTCCTATCCTTCTCTAAATCTCATTTCAACTGGAAATTCTACCAAACCTTTCTTACACACGCTAACATGAGCCTCACTTTCCTCATAAATGCTCTTTAGAGCTTTCAAGAACTTTCCGTCTGTTACCTGGAGTACACCTGGAGGGTGTTTCGGGGGTCAACACCCCTGAAACACCCCCCCATGACCAGGCCTTGTGGTGGATCAGGGACTGATCAACCAACCAAGTTGTTACTGTTGGCCACATGCAGACTGATGTACGAACCACAGCCTGGCTAGTCAGGTACTGATTTTAGGTAATTCTCCAATGACTTCTTGAAGACAGCCAGGGGTCTATTGGTAATCCCCTATATATTTGCAAAACTTATCACATAACTTCCATATCTATCTTTTTATTTTTTTTTTTTTTAACAAGTCGGCCGTCTCCCACCAAGGCAGGGTAACCCAAAAAGAAAGAAAATACTTTCATCATCATTCAACTTTTTCACCTCACTCACACATAATCACTGTTTTTGCAGAGGTGCTCAGAACACAACAGCTTAGAAGCATATATGTATAAAGATACACAACATATCCCTCCAAACTGTCAATATCCTGAACCCCTCCTTTAGAGTGCAGGTATTGTACTTCCCATTTCCAGGACTCAAGTCCAGCTATATAAAAATAACCGGTTTCCCTGAATCCCTTCACTAAATATTACCCTGCTCACACTCCAACAGATCATCAGGTCCAAATACCATTCTGTCTACATTCACTCCTATCGAACACGCTCACACACGCCTGCAATTACGTATACTTACCTCAACAAATCTTCTATTTTGGTTCTATAAAATTTGAGGAACTGAGCAAAGAAACCATCGAATTCACCAGTTAAGCAAAAATTGCATTTTCTTTGCCAAAATATTCAATCATTCTTTCAAGTTTCACAGTGGCGCGCTCGTCCCATAGGAGTCCCTCCAGATGTCATGCCAGACATAATGACTTCTCTAACTATCGTGTTTGGGGTTCAACTGAGCAACACACTTAAGCCAATAATAAACCCAACAAAAAGGCCGCAGTGAGAATAATCCACTAATATCCCATTCCCTTGGCAAAACACACCCTCCCCCACTCTTCATAGGATCTAAACTTACTCCCTGTTCAGTACATCCACACTTATCTACTGTGCATTCTACATCTACGCGACCTTAAATTCCAATATTAACCTTGCACCTAAAATGCTTTTCTTGATAGTTGTGACTAGAACACCCACAGGCACAACACCAGACACAAACATGCTATGCATTCCCCAGTGTTCGACCTAAACCTTTACAAAAAATTTCCAATGTATGTCAAAGGCCCTAAATAGGAAGTAATGTAAACTGATGCACGCATGAACAAAAGATCACTTACTACTCTAGGAGATTTCAACATAAATCTCTGCAAGACCAGGACCCACGACATTACTGAATTCACAAACACAATGAGTAACTGCATGTTTTGTAAATTCTCCTTATGTACCAACAGTAACAAAACCTACAAGAGTTACAGAGAATAGTGTTTCCCTACTTGAACCACATCTGGCCAAACACCATATCCCCTTTAAAATCAGGCATTTAATTACAGATAATACCTCACAGACCACTACCCTACTTTTCCTCAATAACAAAACTCTCTTGGTAAAATACCCCAACAAAGACACTACTAAAGTCACCTTCAGACTTTCACAATGAGGCAACAATAATAACTTCACAACAGCAAGTAACAAACATTGACTGGCACAATGAGCTAGAAATCTATACAAGATATTGACGAATGTTTTTAATAATTTTCTAAAATAGGACCCAAATACCTTTAGTAACAAGCAATGCCCTAAAAAAAATTAAACAGATGACAGCCTAAGAGACTGAAACAGTCCCTGGCTAACACCCAGCATTCTCAAATCCATAAAAACAAAACACGATATGAAAAAACAGTACAGAATGGGTCACTACCAGAGACCAATACAAACATTACTCGTCTATCCTAAACCAGCCTGATATGGAAGGGAAAAAAATATGTAATTATGAGACAGATTATCCAACTTACGAGGGGTGATATAAAAAAATAGACCTGGAAGACCTATCAGACATTCTGGGAACAAAATAGATAAAAGATATGCATCGAACATAGTGAAATTAAAATTAGCAACAAATCAGATGAACCCAAACTCCACCAACAGAAACAGCGAACAGACTCTATGAGTCTTTCCACTATAGAGATCAAAACCTTTTGCCTATAAAATCCCAAGCTCAGATACCCCACCAATGACTTCCTCACTGGCAACTACCCGAAAACACTGTTCTAGCTCGAACTAACCCATTCAAAGCCTCCCTTATTATCAAAGCACTGAAAACAAGGCATGAGATTTAAATACCTTACACCCTTTTATTTTATATACAAAAAAAAATGGTCTCATCAAGTACTATCACCAATCATTGCAACACTCTTTAACAAATCCATTGAATCCTCCACTTCCCTACAGTTCCTCAAAATAGCAAGGAGGTTCACCACGATCCATAAAGGAGGAAGACCAAACTGAGTTGAATAACTATAGGCCAATATCCAATTTACACCCTCTCTCAAAAAATCTTCGAAAAATTATCATAAACCGAATCTACTCCGACCTATCTCCCAAAAAACATTCTCATCCCCCTGCCAATTTGCTTGGATCAGGCCTAATAAATAATACTAATGATGCTATTATCACACATTGCTAGAACTTAAATTCACTGAAGGGTATGGGGAGGTTTTTAAATTGTGTTGCAGTTTAAAAATGTAGTGTTAAAAAGCACCCTTCTGGCAAGACAGTGATGGAGTGAATGATGGTTGGGTTGTTTTTGATTTGTTTTAGAATGTTTTTCTTTTTCGGGCCACCCTGCCTTGGTGGGAATCGGCCAGTGTGATAATAAAATAAATAAAAAAAATAGAACATATATACACTGCTATAGAGAAAAGATAGAAGTCCCACTGGGCTCTTCAATTGACTTACGTAAAGCTTTTGATACGTTGACCTATGACTTGCTCCACGTAGTTAAAATTGTCACACTATGGTTATTAGAGGGGCACTCCTCAACTACCTCAAGTATTTACCTCAGCAGCAGTAGCCAATATGTTGGTACGCAAATGGGGCAAGCTCTTCGCACAACCAAATTACAGATTGGTGTCCCCACAGGGAAGTGTCCTTGGCCTCTTCTCTTTCTCAGTACATAAATGACCTACAAATGCCTTCGCAATTACTCTAATCCCACACTTTTTGCAGATGGAACTACAACGTCTTCTCTCACCCCAAGCACTGTCCATCGCTCTAGCCAATTACTGGTAAACACCAAAAGTACAGAAAATCTTTCTACCTGGATGTGGACTAACAAACTTACACGAAACATTGACAAAACCTACTTCATTCAGTTTGGTTAACAGAGCTACGATGTACCTCTTAACATAACCATAAACGGATCTTCACTATCACAAAGCTAACAGAGGGAAAATTCTTAGGAACTCCACCTCGATAATAGACTCAAATTTCATACATATATACAAAACAAATTTCTAAGAATTTTCCAAGTCTGTAGGCCATTACTATCGAAGATACAGGTACTATGTTCCACAGTCAAGCCTCTGGCCCTTTCACCTCTTATTTACCCCTATCTTCACATATGGAATTTTGTGCATGGAGGCTCATCAACAATTAACCATCTCAGACTCACTAATTACCCAACCAAAAGGCTGCAGTTAGAATGATAACAAATTCTCACTACAAAGGAAACACATCCACCAATATTCAAAACACTCAACCTACTCACCATACAAAAACATCCAAACTTTATTATTGCACCTATTACTGAACAAGAGAAACACTTAACTTGATATTAACCCCTCCCTCAAAATCTCCTTGCCAACCTCACAAGAAATCATGACCATAAAACAACATAGGCACAGATCACGCCTTTGATGTTCCTGTGTCCATCTTCACGCTATGCAAAAACTCAACGCACATAAAAGGCCCCCTAAAATCTGGAATTCATTACCTGTTAAATATAAAAGAAAATACCTATTGATAAAATAAGTCTCTTCTCAAAGTTCACTTACTCACTCCAAACCCAATAAATACTGAATAACTGAACCTGTATAAATTGTATATCAAAAATGTTACTCACAATTATATCACATAAATGTTTAAACCTAGGGACCCAATCTAACTTTGTTATTTTTTAAATACCTAGCTAACATAAATACTCTTTACTACTGAATGAACAGCAATGCATGCAACCATATGACCTGTACTTTGTATACTCATTTGTTTGCTTTATAGTTATCTGTATTACAATAATGTCTTATCATGATTTCATCATGCTTAGGTAATCTTAAGTTAATTTTAAGCCAGCCCATATGCTATGCCTATAAGTGGCTTTGGCATGCTCGCCTCTTACCTGTATTTTTTTTGTACCTCTGTATGTATGCTAAAATTTCTAAATAAATAAATAAATAAATAAAAATCTGGAACACCCTACCTGAAAATTCCAAAAAACTGCAGACACATTCAACACCTTCAAAACTACCCATCAGAAAACACTCTTATCTCCCTGATACAACCCTGTCATACTAATAATACGAATACCACCTGGTGGTTCACACTTACACCTCACTCACCATTTGACCATAAACAGAAAATATCAAATCTCAATCTCAAATAATGAATCTTAACTGGTCAATTCAAAAGTTGGCGCCTGTGATACTCCAATACTGAAATATGTTTAGTGCCAAAACAAAAGCATCACCATGCTAAAACTCACAGCTTGTATTTAGTCACTTAGCCATAATACCAACTTATTTCATAATTCTGTAACATTTTAAACCTAAGATTTAATATAAGTCTGCCTGAAATGCCTAGCCATGCTAGGCGTTCTAGTGGTACACTCTGTAATTATTATTTTACTACATGTAAACCACACAATAATCAAATTCTGTAAATTCAGCATTGTAATACTTATAGAGAATAAAGTTTGAATTTGAATTTGAATTTGAATTTATGCTAAAATATCCAACAAATAATACTTAATAAAGTTAGAGAAGGATGATTATGCTACAATTAGGAAACAGAATAATAAATGTTTTAAATAGTTACCAGGAATTTAGTTAATGTACAAACAAGAAATTATATTAATGTGAAATATTAAAATAATTACTTACTTATCAGTTGAGGAAGTTCTTCAAGATTGATCTCATAATTGTCAACTTCTCTCTTTACAGTAGCTTGACTAAATTCAATGGGCTCAGCTTCATTATGAATTTCTTCCATTTCAACTTCCTCATCACCACACATTCTGAACAAAGTGGAACTTTTAGGCTTTGTTTTCTCTAAACCATAGCCAGCCATCCAAATTTTATTCCATGTCTGGATCCTCTTCCTCCTCTTCCTCTTGAGGCTCTGCCTCTGAGTCCTTTTGTGAATCCTTTCACGTTACTCAGTCCAGGAGATTCAAACGATTTTCCGTAAAATTCTTCATCATTTTCGTCATCCTCTTCATAACTATTATTACATTTTTCTTCTTCAGATAAAGAATTGTTTGTTGTTGGTAACTCAACCTTGTAAAGATCAAGATACTTGCTATTTGGCTTTCTCTGCTTCCCAAAACTGCTAGCAGTTAGACAAGAGAGTTGTGCTTCCTTTTCTGCCAATTCTGCATCCTTTTCTTTCATTAACATTTCCTCTAGTTTTTTAAGTTTAACATTCTGTAGTTCTTGATCTTGCTTGATTTTTTCTTCAACATGATCAGGTAACTTTTCCATATACTGGACAATATGAAATGCAACATCTGCTTTAATTTTGTAAGGATCATTTACATTTTTCTCTTGAGATTCAACAGCATTAAACACAGAATCAGTTTTGAATTTATAAACAATTCTAACTGCACTGTTACAGAGTTGGTATATTTCCCACGTTTTTTGTTAAACAAATTTAATCATATCTCCAAAAAATCCTCCATCCGCAGAAAACAGTGCCCCCAGACCTTTTTTTTGGGACATTCCATCGGTGTATGTTAAGTAAAAACCGTGCACCGGGAAGTAAACTTTTTTTAAATATATAGTATTATTTACCGCAAACAAGTCCCAAAATAAACACATATTCTATAAGATTTTTAATGAGTATAACAATGATAAAAATTCAGGTTTATTTATTATTATTAGAATATAGTAGTAGAGTAGTAGTAGTAGTATAGTGTATAGTAGTAGTAGTAGTAGTAGTAGTAGTAGAAATTATAGTAGTTAGTAGTATAGTTTAGTAGTATAGTATATAGTAGTGTAGAAATAGTGTAGTAAGTATAGAGTAGTTTAGTAGTATAGTATAGTAGTATATAGTATAGTTATTTGAGTAGTAGTAGTAGAAATAGTAAGAAAATTATTTAGTAGTAGTAGTAGTAGATTATTAGAATATTACATTATTATCAAAAATTATTTTTATTTTTACTTTTATTATTAACTTTTACATGATTTTATACAAACAGTTGTAGATTTATCAAAAACTGTCATAACAAAAATAAAAATCCTTCAATGATCACAAATGTGCTCAAAATAAAGATGCATTACTTTTTCTATTTACAAATTGGATACAAAAAAAAAACGACGGGGTTTGTAAACTAGCTATTATTTCAAAAACTTTTTTCTTGGGGAGGAGGGATGGCATCAGGAAGGGTTTAAACCAGATATTTGGGAGTGAACATGTCCAATGGATCATGAAAGTGAGGTAACCAAAAAACAGTTTAAGGGGAAAAAGTGAGACCCCAGTGCCCAACTTTAACATCATAAATCCATTATGAAACGGGGTTTTGTCTTTAAGCTCTACATTCCAAAAAATTTAAAAATTTTACCCATTGGGGGAGTGTTAGTACGCAACATTTTATTTATTTTTTTTTATTTTTATTATCACAGGGGCCCCGTTCCCCCCCAAATGCAGGGGGGCCAAAAAAAAAAGAAAAACTTTCCCCATCTTTCACTCCACACTGTCTTCCAAAAGGGTGCTTTACACTACATTTTTTTTAAACGCAACATTAACACCCCTCCCAAGTCAGCCTGTATTTCCCCCTCTCCGGGACTCAATCCGGCCTGCCGGTTTCCCTAAACCCCTTCTAAATTTACTTTGCTCACACTCCAACACACGTAAAGAACAAAAACCATTTGTCTCCATTCACTCCATCAAACCCCTCACGCATCCCTGCGGAAGTCCAACCCCCCTCCAACAAAACCCCTTTACCCCCTCCCTCCAACCTTTCCGGGCCGCCCCCACCCCCCCCTTTCCCTTTCCACTACAGACTGATACACTCTTGAAGTCCCTCTGTTTCACCCATTCTCTCTACATGCCCAAACCACCTCAACAACCCTTCCCACCCTCGGGGCAACATTTTTTGGTAACCCCCGCACCCCCCTCCAAACTTCCAAACTACGAATTCTCCATTATATTCACACCACACTTTGCCCTCAGACATAAAACTCCACGCCTCCAGCCTTCTCCTCATTGCAACATTCATCACCCATCTTCAACCCAATAAGAGCGTTGGAAAAACTACCCATACATTCCCCTCTTGCCCCCCGGAAAAATTTTCTTAGTCTCCACAAACCCCCAATGACCAACACCCTTTTTCCCCTCATCAATTCTATGATTCACCTCATCTTTCATAGACCCATCCGCTACACTCCACTCCCAAATATCTGAATACATTCACCTCCCCAATCTCTCCCCCCCAAACTGATACCAATCTTTATCACCCAATCTTTTTTTTATCCCCAAAACCTTTCTCTTTCCTGATTTACTTTAAATTTTTCCCCTTTTTTTGCAACCCTACCAAATTCATCCACCCAAACTCTGAACTTCTCTTCAAATCTCCAAAAACACAGTGTCATCACAAAGAGCAACTGTGACAACTCCCACTTTATGGTTTATTTTTACTTTTAACTCCCCCTCTTTTCCAAGACCCTCCCCCTTTACTTCTCTTACAACCCCATCTATAAATTATTAAACAACCACAGTGACATCACACATCCTTGCAAGGCCTACTTTTACTGGGAAATAAATTTTCCCCCTTTCCCCACAAACCTAACTTGAGCCTACATCCTCATAAAAACTTTCACCTTCATAACCACCCCCCACCCAAAACCTGCAACATCTCCACATTGCCCCCCTACCCCCCGCATACGCCCTTTTTAAACCTAAAAGCCACAAAGACCCCTTTACCTTATCTAAATACTGTCACTTATATGTTTCACTGTAAACACCTGCTCCAACACCCCCCACCTTTTCCCAAAGCCTCCTTTTTCATCTCTATCCACTCCGCTTACTCTTAATTTTTTTCAAAAATAAACTACAACACTTTACCGGTATACCAAAAGACTTATCCCCCATAATTTTTGCACTCTCTTTTGTCCCCCTTTGCCTTTTACAAAAGGAACATGCATGCTCTCTGCCAACCCTAGGTACCTTACCCCCCCTTTTCAACATTTTTTAAATAATTGCACCAACCACTCCCAAAAATAATCCCCTTGCTTTTAACATTTCTACTTATCCCATCAACCCGGCTGCCTTAAACCCCCTTTCATTTTTTCCCACTGCCTCAAAAAACTTCCCCCACACTCACAACTGGCTCTTCCCCACTCCTACAAATTTATTCCTCCTTGCCCCATACACAAATCACAGCTTCCCTATCTTTTTCAACATTTAACAATTCCCAAAATATTCCCCCCTCTTCCCAATACCTCTAACTCTCCCCTTTAATAACCTCCCTCCTATTTTTAACTGCAAATCCATTTGTTCTCAGCTTTTCCCTTTAACTTGTTAATCTCACTCAAAACTTTTTCTTATTTTTTAACAAAATTTTGTTGATAACATCTCACCCACCTTCCCTTTTCTCTCTTTTTACTTGCTCCCACTCTCTTAACCCCCTCTTTTTTTTCAATCTCACCCTCCTTCATTACTTCTACTAGTAAAAACTTCTCAAGCAACTTTTTCTCCTTTACTACTCTTTACATCATCATTCCCCCAATCACTCCTCTTCCCCCCTGCACCCACTTTCCTTAAACCCCAAACTTCTGCTGAACACTCAACACTACATTTTTAAACCTACCCCCTACCTCTTCGAACCCATTGCCTATCTCTCATTCCCCTCTACTCCAAACGTTTTTTACTTTCCCTAACTCCTCCCTCTTTTAGTTTTTTTATTATTTATTTATTAACAACCATTAGAATCGTTAGGTCGTTAGAGTCATCATCATAAAACTGATTGTGCTATTCTCTTTAGGAAGCAAGGCTCGTGAGAGTTGAGGAGACTGTGTAGGCTCTAAGGGAATTTTAATAGGCAAGGTGGTTATTTTTATAAACCTTCACCTCTCTTTTCCCCTGATGCTTCTATTCTCCTTTACCCATCAACCTTTTACTCTCAGTGTAGCTACAACAAAAAAGGACTATATACGGGGCCCCCTTTTATAAACATGCACCCGAAGTCTACTAAAACATCTTTTACCCCAATACATAACCAACAAACTACTGTCATTTCCCCACATCAATTTTGTATCTTATTTATCCTCTTTTTTTTAAAAATAGTATTACCAAAACTAAACCCCTTTCTATACAAAGTTCAATCAAAGGCTCCCATTATCATTTAACCTGCCCCCCAAACTTTTCCCACCACACCCCCAAAAAATTTCTCCTATTTAGCATTCAGGTCCCCTCCCAAAAATTACCCTCACTTGGGGTTTCAAAGGCTCCTATACTTTCACTAAAACTCCCAAAACTCTCCTCTCACATTCCTCTCTTCCGGGTGCATACGCGCTTATTAACCCATTTTTCGCTCCAAACCCTTTTATTTTTAAAACCAATAATTCTTGAATTTCACATTCAATTCTCTTTTTCTCCTTCCAAACTGACCTTTCAACATTACTGCTACCCCTTCCTTTTCCTAACTCTCCAGATACCCAGATTTTAATCCCATTTATTTCCCCCCACCAAAACTCCCCTACCCCCTTCAGCTTTGTTTCGCTTAGGGCCAGGACATCCAACTTCTTTTCATTCATAACATCAGCAATCATCTGTTTCTTGTCATCCGCACTACATCCACGCATATTCAAGCATCCCAGTTTTATAAAGTTTTTCTTCTTCTCTTTTTTAGTAAATGTCTACAGGAGAAGGGGTTACTAGCCCATTGCTCCCGGCATTTTAGTCGCCTCATACAACACGCATGGCTTACGGAGGAAAGATTCTTTTCCACTTCCCATGGACAATAGAAGAAATAAAGAACAAGAGCTATTTAGAAAAAGGAGAAAAACCTAGATGTATGTATATATATATGCATGTGCATGTCTGTGAAGTGTGACCAAAGTGTAAGTAGGAGTAGCAAGATATCCCTGTTATCTAGCATGTTTATGAGACAGAAAAAGAAACCAGCAATCCTACCATCATGCAAAACAGTTACAGGTTTCTGTTTCACAGTCATCTGGCAGGACGGTAGTACTTCCCTGGGTGGTTGCTGTCTACCAACCTACTACCTTTTCTTTATAAGTACCAACCTACTACCTTTTCTTTATAAGTACAGCAATAAATAAATGCTAATGTGTAATTAAAGTTTTCAGTAGACCATGGTGAGTCAGAGATGTATTGTTGAATTATTATGTGACCTCTGTTGGACTGGCAAAACTGATAAACTAGCAAAGCCTAGGAACCAAGGGTGCTGAAAAATCGATGTTGTATTTATACTAATAATAATTCATGTTAAGCGCTAAATCCATGTGGGTGATTCAATGCAAGTCATGGAAGAGGCTTGATCCTCCATCTACTCAACCCACCAATGTACGAGTGCCACAAAACAGCATCCTATGACCATTTTTATTTTCTCATATACATTCATGACCTACTAAATGCACCACTGAAGTGGCT